CCAACCACTAATCCTACCCATGATCCTACCTATATCTGATCCTAATCCAACCTACACTACTAAAAATAATTCTACCTATAGTAATCATTTTGAGCGTTGCTCATATCTCTCCTGTCAGTCTGGGGCCACTAACTGTGTCCCAACTGAAAGAGAGATACCTGGGGGTCCCCTTTTATTTAGCTCTGCAAACTGAGGCCAGTGATAGAAAGGGATCTTGTTCAGCAGTGGCATTTAAAGGGGTATGAGCAGCGCTCACTTTAAGTGCTGCTCAAAGCTCATCTTTTAGTCACTGTCTGTGGTCCCACCTGACAGAGGGCACCCCAGGTCTCGAAAGGCCCTTGGTAACAGCAGGGATTGAACCATTGCTGGTAACTTTACTGCATGACTGTCTATGCCGTTACTGGTCATTAAAGCACCGCAACTGCATGACGGCATAGACCGTCATGTGGTCCTTAAGTGGTTAATAGCATTATTATTAATATTAGCAAAACCATATCATTTACAATCATAGAATGGGGATAATTGACAACAAGCAGTTGACATACAAAATATTAACATAGGCAAAAGGTGAAGAAGGCACTGCTCAAATGAGCTTACAATCTGACAACAGCACACTGTCTTCAGAATCTGTAGCATTCACATGAGTTTTGATGTTTGTGATCAACAGACTTAATTTTTATTTTTTTTCAAATATTGCAACCTATTGGATCAAAGGAAGATAAACCACTCTGGATACTAATCCTATTCAGTTATGTCATTTAAGATGGCTTTCCCTGTCTAGTTACACTTGTCTTATTTACATAATCATTTAGATAGATGTATAAATAAACATTGTGAGTGCATCAAATGATGCATTTATGGTTCCAGTTAAATATTAGATACAGTTTCCTCTCCTATTTAATAGCAAAACAATTATATCTTTTCCTTTGGTGCATTTTACACAAAATTTTCCAAAACCAAACTTTGTAGCTGTTTTGATGAAATAACCACTGGACAAACTGTTAGTAGTTCATAGTATCCAATCAAAGTACGTTAGGTCACATTGCAAACATATAAAATTAATTTAATTGCATGTTGTATCTAGTGCCTTTCTAAATCACATAAATCGGAGCGACTTCGATGCAGTACTAGTCATCAAATCTTCTTTTACACTCAGTCTGTATTATCGCACTGCAAAAAAACAATACTTCTTTCTTATAATACAAACCCATCCTGGACACAACGAAAGGTTCCTTTCTTTTATTGATTTTACCAAGTCAAGATATACCAAAAGATAAAATACTGAACATATCAATATTTTTCCACAGAGGCATTCATCAACATTAAAAGGACATGCTATGAAACAATATTGCAATCTGAACTCTTCAGTTGTACTGTAAGAGGCGACTAAATAGAATTGACTAAATGTGGGTCCATAGCTCCCAACTCCCTCTTCACATGAGCTGTTGGAAGGGGAAAAGGGCACTTAAGCACATTATTTACAACAGCTTGCTCATCCTCCAGCTTATTCTTAAAATGGTTTAGAGTGGTTTGACAAAATTCAGAGCAATACCTGGTACCCATATCCCATCCCCTCTTTAGCTACATTCATAATGGATAAATTACGTGTCTTCATTATTTCGTGCATAGTTATATATTAATACAGGCTAAGAAAGGACTCAAGTTCATCAGATTTAGCCTTTTACACATCTTTATTGCTGTTGTTGATCTAAAAGAAGGTGAAAAACACAGTTTGAAGTGATTTACAATTTCTCCACAAAATCTGAAAAGAAAAATACTTTTTGATTCAAAGATGACAATCAGATTTCTCCTCGAGTCAATAAACAAACAAACAAACAAACAAACTGTCAACTCCCAAATTAATGATTGTATCCTTTTATGTTCTGCTTTTCCAAAAAAATCACCCAGACATTTGAAAATATGTTCAACTTCTGTAGGCCAGTGATTTCTAAGCAGAGATTTTGATTCCTTTTTAATTAAGGGCACTACATCACCGTTTCTCTGAAAGATGAAAAACAGCAGTTTGGCTATTACCTCACTTAATTCCCTTAGTACCTGTGGGTAAATGCCTTGTGGACCCGGATGCTTTGCTTATGTTAATTTTATTTAATAGCTGTAACACTTTGTCCTCTGTCATCCAATCACATGTTTGCATTAACATTTTTATAGCAGATATATATACTTATACCTTTCCCGAACTTCATTTATTACTACATTCATCTCTAATTTCAGGGAACAAATATTTTAACTCTTGGATTTTTTTGTAATGTTTGTCTTAAATGATGTCACTCTTGCTCTCTGTCTATCCATTTTAATTTCCTAGTTTAACGCATCTTATTGCCCTTTGCACCATTGTTAGCATCCTTTTATTGTAAAGGGCAATTCCAATCACCTTTGATAGGAATAATAGGCTGTAGGTAGTGAGCTAACTTACCCTTAGGGCGTCCTAAGGGTGCCAAACAAATTGCCTAGTTCTGTCAAATCACTACGAAGAAGGAAAGATACCCGTAGACGTATAGCATTATAACGAGTACATTGAGCACATCGGGTAAAGTAATCGGTCAAAAGAATCAGACCAGAACTCAAATTGCGGCCTGTCTCCTTTGTGTCATGGTTTTCTATGATTCAATTAAGGGGTTAATTCACTAAAAGAGAAGTTGTGGAGAGTGGTCAGCATCTAGCAGAAGTGAGGCAGATTATCTGATATGGAACGCAATACTCTGTTTACCTTAGAAGGACATTTTTACAAAACAGGCATTTTTGTCTAGATTGTGCTCGTCAGCTGTTGTCTAGCTATTTAGTAAATAAACCCTATACATGTTTCTAGAAAGCACTAAAAGCATTTAAAGAATCTCTTCTGGATCGTTTGTGTCTTATTTTGGTTCTGAAAGAACAGCTGGTCCCTCATAAAGATTAATCTTGTATTTTAGAACAACAATCACATTTTATTCCCAGTCTTTGCAAAAACATATTATTCACTAATTAAATAGAAATGAATCCTTGTGCTCTTAACAGGGCATTAATCAACATATTAACTTTGCAAGCAAACAGATTTGAAGCAGTTAGATTTTAATTTGTCTGGAAATCATTATTTTAATGTCCCGCTCAGTGTGCTAAAATGATAGTATTTAATCATTGCATTTTTCATTGAGTATAGTCAAATGTAACTTTTTAATAGAACACTGTGTCATATCTATAATCTGCATCCGTGGCATTTCAGAGACAGGTTAAGACAAGACCAGAATGTAAAGATTTCATTTAATGCCATTGGAATGCAACGTCCCATTTACAAGACTGCTAACATCTCACAAGTGGATATGCAATCTTCTATAAATCTCTGTAGGTTTGTTAAAAAATAACTGAAATATATTACTTAGCCAATGCCCATTGACAAAACTGCTGCTTAACATCATGAGTATTAATTGCTGTGTTTAAAGAGTCAAATAAATCGTTTTCTTCAAATCAATCCCGAGCTCCAGACTAACACGTGATGAAACACAGTTTAATGATGTTTTGTATTGAGCTGCACCATTTTCACATGTATATTTTAATGGTGTGGTGTTTTGATTGATGAGGAAGCACACATTTTGAATTGACCTCATGTGTAGTGTGTTCAGTCATGTTATATGGATGCTAACACAAAAGTAAGTTCTTTATAGAATGTTAGGGCATTTAAAGAGTCTATGCCAGGCATAGGCAGCCTTTTGCACTTCAGATGTCTAAGACTACACTTCCCATGATGCTTTGCCAGCATCAGGGCTGGCCTTGGGCCATTAGGCGCCCTGTGCGAAAAGTCTTCACAGTGCCCTCCCCCCATCTTCCCTGGTCATGCACCTTCTTTCTATATTTGTGTGTATAGGGGTGTAGGTTTGTATAGGTGATTTAATAAATTAATTATGATTTAAAGACAAATATTAATTCCCCCCTCCCTGTTGTTATCTTGTAATGAGGGGGGAATAGAGATCTATGGTGTTCCAGTGTGCTGGGAATCTGGTCTGCCCCTTCGCCGGGTGCAGACTATGAGTAACTGTCTCGTTAGCTCAGGCATTTACAGTGTCAGAGCTTTCCTCTGGTAATCTGCAGCAATGCACTGATTGGCCAGAGCTCGGAAGACAGCCACTTATGGTCTGCAGCCAGCAGAGAAGTGCGGTGCCAGACTGCTTCCACTGCATTACAGAGGGGCAGATTAAGTATGTCACATAATACCGTGACACACAGTTACAGTCACATTTTTAATGATTAATGTTATTTAAGAAATTGTTCTTCAAATTGGAAAATAACGTGCAACCAATATAGTCAACACATAAGACTTATTCAGCATTTTCCACAAAGTTCATGGACTTGGTTTCAGACCCTCTACATGTAAGGTATCAGGTAGATTCACAATTCATTTGGCAATTAACACTCCATAATGTGATTTTGTGGAACTGAATCAAATCATGGCAGATACATTTTCACCTGCAGTATTATGTATTGTGTTAAACTATTTTAAATGCCACTCTAATGGTTTTCTTTAGTGTGTGAATGTCACGTTCTGTTCCTCGCTGCGGATCTTTCCTGCATTGGCTTCTGGTATCCAGTACTCTTTTTGCTGTCCTTGCTTGGTTTTTCTGGTTTTCTGGTCTTTGTCTTGTTTTCTTTGTTGCTGGGTTTCTGGGTTCATTCTTATATTCTGTCCCTGGATTTCCCAGTCTCTTGGATTCACTTAAATGTTTGTTTTATGTTGCCACACCTGCTTGTTTCCACTTTCGTTTTGTTTCAGCTTGGACCTGCAGCAGTGTTTCATCTCTCTGCCCTTTCTTGCAGGTAAGTGCTATTGTGGTTTAGTGTGGTTGTTTTAGTATGCACTAGGCAGTGTAGGACCTGCCAGATATGGGGTACATTGGCGTTGTTGACAGGCTTGTGCAATGTATGATCATATAATGTAACTAAATCCCATACTTTTCACAATTAGTGCTTAGCTATGTTTCCTCTTGTTGTACCTTGTATCTCTTGTCTTGTTTTACTTTGTCTTGTAATCCCAGTCCATGTACAGTCCTGTTCAGTTATGCCCATGTTATGTTCTTGTTTTCCTCATGTCTTGTGTACTTGTTTTAGGTTCTGCTTTCTGTCCTGCTCTGGTTCTGGGTTCTCCTAGTTTTGTCTTGTGTTCATGTATGGTGTCTTGCTCTCCTAGTTCTGCCTTGATTCAGTACTGGATACATCCCTGCTGCAGAGCCTCCCTATTCAGCTCCTGGGAGGTCTGCTTAATTATCTGCTCCTAGTTCCTGGGGTCCGCATAAGCTGATTCAGGGTTCTGGTATGCACAAACGCTGGTGCTCAACACCAGGGGGCGTGCGGTTGCCCTGCACCAGACCCTGCTAATCCACCTCCACACTGTGACTCCTACTCCAAACATCAGGCATAATGGGTCCCGGTCCACGCACCGCCACCCGGACAGTGTCTGGGTCCCGGGCACCAGACCGCCACCCCTGACAGTGAACTCATCAGCATGAACTTTGTATATATATAATTGAAATGATTGTTAGCTTGCTAGCAACATCCTCAAATCCTTGGGCAGTGAAGAGGTTTATAATGTTTATCTATAAGAAATCAAATAGCATTTACGTTTTGGGGGTAATAATTCAATTTTTTCTATATGTAGCATACAAACTTTATATGTTTTTTTTTTTTTTAGTTTATTTTCTTTTAATTGGGATTTAATCCCTTAAGGACGGAGCCAAATGTACACGTTGTGAACGAAACAAAATGTAAACAAAACCTGGCATTTGCGCTACATGTCTGTCCAACCGTAATTCACCTCTTTCATATTAAATGCACCCACCCTTATTATATATCATTTTATTCAGGGGAAACAGGGCTTTCATTTAATATCAAATATTTAGCTATGAAACATAATTTAATATGAAAAAAATGGGAGAAAATAAGATTTTTTTTGATTTTTTTAGTTCTACATGACATTTTAACTGTCAATGTCATAATACTGTTTGCTTTTACTGCAATAAAATACACATATTTGTATTCAGCAAAGTCTCATGTGTAAAACAGTACCCCCTATGTACAGGTTTTATGGCATTTTGGGAAGTTACAGGGTCAAATATAGCACGTTACATTTGAAATTGAAATTCGCCAGATTGGTTACGTTGCCTTTGAGACTGTATAGTAGCCCGGGAATGAAATTTACACCCATAATGGCATACCATTTGCAATAGTAGACAACCCAAGGTATTGCAAATGGGGTATGTCCAGTCTTTTTTAGTAGCCATTTGGTCACAAACACTGGCCAAAGTTAGGGCGTCGGACATGCCGCGGGGGGCTCCCTGGGAGTCCCCTCAACCGCGATCGCCGGTGTGGGATCGCCGGTGTGGGATCGCCGGTGTGGGATCGCCGGCGACCGGGTAAGTACAGAAAGACCGGAGGGTGTACTCTTACGCCCACGAGACAAGACTATGTGTTGAGGGTCAAGAAGATCTGTTTTACTTGGCACCAAAGGGCCTTCTTTTATCCAGGTTTTCCCTACATAGGACCACCCACAGGGTTTTGCAGAACAACCAATAAACACATTACAACACATACAATAAAGTAAACCACTCCCAGCAGAAATCCTCCCCTCTGCCTGTGATACAATTATCTCAACACAATAGACTAACTTAATTATCACAGGCAGAAAATATACAGTTTTTACACAACATTAATAACTTTAAAAGTATACATGCAATATTAATAAAAGTTCCATTTTTGAAATCAGTGTCCTTTAAATATAAATATACTCAAAAATCTGAAATAATCCATCCAGTAGATCAAAAGATAAATTGAAGTCCTTTGTGACCAAATGAAGCATGGCTTTTCTGCCCAAAACCAGTTCCACAGAGTCTTCTATCCTGGAGATAATTGGGAAGTAATCCAATTATCTCCAAGGACAGAGGCAAAACTCCACTGAACACAGGTAGCAAAAGACAATAAAATACATAAAAATATATAACTGTGCAGCTATTGCATAAAACAGGTACATATCCCCAGATAGCTCAGATCTGAGAGCACATTATTACTGAATGGTGCTCAGATCACATACATACAGTTCAATTGCCATGGAGCCAAAGTCTTTCCCATAGTCTTTCGGTGTACGAATGGGCTCCATGGCATAGCTATCTGGGGTATCAATGTTCAAATAGGGCAAGTACCGAATGACCCGGCTTTCGTGTCTTTGCAGGAGAAAATCAAGCGTTTCAACATGGGGCCATAGTCTAAAGGCAGCAGGCGGGCAACCAGTCCTCTCCAATACCCAGTGACAAATGGCAGTTTGTCACACTTGTGTTTTGTTTTCTTTTTAAATGAAACTGTGAATCATTGTGACTTTATCGTGGAATTGCAAATGTAATGACAAATAGTTCTGAAAACATATTAGACTTGTAGAGGTTTTCAAGTTGGCACTTTTGTCCCAACATTTGCATCTCCATGATTAATTATGGTAGATTAACGGTTTAGTTAATAACCCTACTGGTTTTTAATAAAATGGGATTTGTCAGTTATCGACAGATTACATTTTAGGTCAAAATAGACAAATTAGGATAATATTATCTCGTTCAGCTGATTGTGCATCCCAGCAATTTTAAATTTGCCTGGTGAATTCTTGACAATTTCTAGTGTATCGAATACTCCTAAACCTGTTTCCAGAGACAAAATTGTAAAAAAAAAAAAAAAACCACAGTAATCACTTTGCACAGTACTTAATGTAAGTGTTTGCAAAGCACTAAAAAGCTACCTTGAAAGTTAGTAAACAAAGTAACAACAAGGGGTAGCGCCACTGAGTAATAATCCTTAAGGTACAGTGGAAAACAGCTTAAATAAGAAAAATATGGTAAATACAGAAATGTATTTTTCAAAAATCTTTCTGAGCATCTATAAAATTGCAAAGTCACATCTTTTTTTGGGAAACAGAAGATATACTTCTGCTCACTGTTTCATAGACATGCCCCTACTCGCAGTATAGCGTGTAGGGGCAGAATTTACTAATACTAAGTAATGAATTTACTAATACTAAGTAATCTTTACTTAGTATTAGTAAATTTGGCTAGAAGACCAATTTAGGTCTTTTGGTAGATAGCTCCCTAATACCTTGGGAATCAGGGAGTTATCTACCAAGCGGCCGCAAGATGCAGCCACGGCACGAATAGGATCAGAGTTTCATTCATTCAAATGAATTTCAGATCCGAACAAAGTCCCGAATGGCATTCTAACACGAAGGGAGAAACTGTTTTCATTCTGTTAGGACGCAATTCGGTAGTTTGCCGGCGTTCTGTCTAAATGACAATATATTCGGGAAAAGTGAAAGTATGCTTCACAGGAACACGGTGGAAAGGTGAAAATTGTGGGAAAATTGCTTTGACCACCGGAAATGAAGCAGGAGGAGGTTTCCTACGCCTGACTGCTGGTCAGAGATGGTTAGGCATAGGAAACCTCCATGAGACAAATATTCCCTACTTTGTCTTATGTTTTAAAGAAAACTAGAGCAGACAGGAAGAAATGAAGAACAGATCCTGGGAGAGGGAGAGAAGAGGAATCTATTAAAGAAAGGTAAGTTCAGCATGACAGTGCCACTTTAAGTTGATGGTGCCTTCCTCTACCTTACTGTTATTTAATTTTGTTAGTCTTTCCACAAACATATGTATATTTTTAAACTGTTTGCTGCTTGTTTACATTACTTGTTTGTTTGTGTGAACCAGATGTGTGAAATTGTTTTGCCTTTACTAGTAATAAGATATATGTATCTTACCTGTAATTAAAGGGACACTATAGTCACTATAACAACTACAACTTATTGTATTTGTTCTGGTTAGTATAATCATTCCCTTCAGGGTTTTGGCGTTTTGTTTGGTATCTCTGGGCTCTTTGTGCACAGGTCCCTCGCATGTACTGTAATGACGCCGATGTCGGGATGACGTCATGTCCCAGCTGCCGGCTTACTGCAGGGCGAAGACAGACAGACACAGTCAGATACACACAGTTATACACATATACTGTCAAATACAGCGACATGCACACAGTCTGAGACACATAGTCACTTGCACACAGTCAAACACACAGTTACAGGCAGAGAGTCACACACAGTTACACACACACAACTACAGGCAGACAGTCACACACACACACACAGTTACAGGCAGTAGCACGCACAATTACAGGCCGACTGTAACATAGCTACAGGCAGCATCACACAGTCACAGGCAGACAGTCACACAGTCCGTGACATTCAGACAGTCACACACAGTCACACACACAGTCACAAGTAGACAGTTCCACACACAGTCATAGACAGTCACACACAATAGCAGACAGACAGTCACACATACAGTCACAGACAGATAGTCACACACTGGCACAGGCAAACAGTCGCACAGGCAGGCAGTCATACACAAAGTCATAGGCAGACAGTCACACACACAGTCATAGACAGTCACATACAATAGCAGGCAGACAGTCACACACACTGGCACAGGCAGATAGTCACACACTGGTACAGGCAAACAGTCGCACAGGCAGGCAGTCATACACGCAGTCATATGCAGGCAGTCACACACACACACAGTCACAGACAGTCACACACACAGTCACAGCCAGACATTCACACACACAGTCACATGCAGACAGTCGTACAGGCAGTCACGTAGTCACAGGCACACAATCAAACACACTGTCACAGTCACAGGCAGACAGTCACAGACAGTCACACATGCAGTCACAGGCAGTCACACACACACAGTCACAGTCAGACAGTCACACACACAGTCACACATACAGTCACATGCACACACACAGTCACAGACAGACACAATCACAGTTACACACACACAGCACACACTCTCTCTCACTTGCTGGTGTGGGAGTGGAGTTAGTGAAGTCCTTGGCTATCTCATTGTACAAAAAAAAAGTCCTTCGCTCAAACTCCCACTACTCCTGGGTGGCAGCAAAGACCATAATACACAACAGCCCCAATGCATACAGTAAAAGCCAAAGAAAAAAGTTACCTTGACTCTCCCAAATCCCCATTGTATATTTAACCCCTTAAAGGACCACTATAGTGCCAGGAAAACATATTCGTTTTCTTGGCACTATAGTGCCCTGAGGGTGCCTAAACTTACCTCTTTCTCCAGCGCCGGGCGGGGAGCTCTCCTCCTCCTCTCCGCCTCCTCTCCTCCTCATTCAGCCGTGCGCGCATTCAGCCAGTCCATAGGAAAGCATTCACAATGCTTTCCTATGG